CAGTTTCTGTTGATAGTAAGTATTAAAAACCATAGATGCCTATGGTTTCTCTGTAGAGGCCTACGATTTCTGTAGACAGTAAGTATTGAAAACTCTAGAAGCCTGTGAACTCCAGAGGCCTACGGATTAAGGGATTTCATCCCATTTGATCTTGAGCATCTGAAGGCCAAGGGGACTCAATTTTGTATAAACGGTGAGTTCGGACCCCCTTGGGGCAGATCTCCTATCATAGGCTCAATTTTGTATAAACCATGGGTTTGGCCCCTTTTGGTACAGAGGGATGGGGCTCAAAAGGGGAATTTGAGGTTTAAATCTCTAAAATTCTTATCCTTCTGTACAATTTGAGGGATTTCATCCAAGTTTGACCTGGAGCATCCTTTGGCAAAGGCGAATGAAAAGTTTAATATGTAATGAAGGGAAAAGTGATATTGGTTGCCTGCTTTTCAGAGATTATTTTAATATGTGAAATTTAAGTATTAAGTGGTCCTGGCCGTAACTCATGTATCAAAATGTGAGTGTGAACCACTGATTGTGGCAGTACACACAGATGATGGGATTATGACAGCATAACCTTTTACAGATAACGTAACCTCTGGTTTATCATGACTTTCCAAGGACTTTTAGTAGTTTGGTAGAGAGCATACAGTAGCTGGCTATAGCGTATTTCAGTGAAAACAAACATCTTCAAATAAGAAAGGTAGACTTGGGCCATTACAGGTGAAGTTTAGCAAAACATATTCACTTTTATTTTGTGTTTTCATAACTTAAACAAGTAAAATTCTTGCTGTAAAAACTCTGTTTTGCTTGTTGTTCCAGACAGACATGGGCAGCCACTGGAACACTACAGGGTACCCTCTGTTTATGGGACCTGCCAACACAGATTTTTCGAAGCTCCTGTCAACATGAGGTACGGCACCAAGTCTTAAAGAAAATTATTCTTCAACACTATTTTAATATACCGGTGTACTTCAAAATATAATTTATGAGAGAAAAAATGTTTGTGATAGTTTTAACTAATAGCTTTGGACCGTGACTCTTCAATTCCTATATGGAACTGCCATTTTACAAACAGGGACATTACCTACCACCCAAGTACATTTCAAATGAGATCAAATAATTTTTGTATTAAAATTTCATTCTCAGATGTTTTATGTCTTTAGTATACATGCAGACATGTTTGTGTATACAAATTTCTGTGTTATAGGCAGGTGTAGTCAGACTTAAGTGGGATCCCACTGCCCCCCTGGTATACACTGCGTGTCTGGACGGTGTTGTGCGTCTGTGGGACAGTCGCATTGGTCAGTGTGTCAACCAGTGGTCCAGTCACACAGACTGCATACTGGACCTGGACTTGTCAAGGTAATGTATACACGCTTGTATTTAATAAAATCTCTCCAGGCACAGGATCATGTGACGGCTATAATACTAGTCCGAGGTTCACATAACAATTTTGGACTCAAAACCAAATTTTAAATGTCAACAAGATACAGAGGATATTCTAGGTTTTAATGTTAATTAATAACAGGTACGGTAGTTCACGTCTGGGTCAAGCATGTTGGTGTTTTGCGAGAGTGAAAAATATTCTCTCTCAGATTTCGCATTCTTCCTATCATATGATGACTCAAATTCAAGATAGAAACAATAAGATATATGAGTTACTTTAAAATTGTGACTCAGACATTTGGATACATGATAGTCTCTCTTACCAAATTTCTGTGAAAAGTTTTTTTCACGAACTGTAAGCTATTGACAATACGTATGAAATAGAACTAGTGTAATCTAAACCCTTTTTAATCCTGTTTTATGTCACTGTAAATATATAGTTCATCCTGCGTAATCTGACTCCTGGGTATTCTGATAAACTGTCATGTCTGACATA